CCCCCCCCCCCCCACCCAAAACCAATTATTCTGTATTTATCTTTAGAGGTGTGATAGGGGAAAAAAGATGGAATCGGATGGTAATGTTTTCAGTTATTGTAGAAAGGCTAAACAAGACACAATTAGTTGAATACTTCAGCATGTGATATTGACCTGTAGTCTCCAACAAAGGATGCACTTAGTTTATTGGATGTCTCTGAAGGGACTCCAAAAAAATGCACATATCGGATTAAGAAAAGCAGCTTCTTGTTCAGTTTCTGGAATTTTGTATTTAAGGCACTCTAGGAAGTTTAAACAAGACAATGTTTGGAAATTACTTTGGCATGTGAATATTGAATGGTTGGATTTGATAAAGCAGCTTCATTTTCAGTTTCTGTACCATGCTGAATTTTCACCTTTGAACAGGTATCCGTAGCGAATATCTGTATATCTGATCTTAGTGATGTTAAAGCTTATTTCTATATGTATGCAACATATACCATTTGATGGTTAATGTATGTTTCGCTTCTGAAGTTCAATCTCTGCACCATTCTTCACCTTTGAACTGGTATCCAAAATGAACATCTGTATATGCAACCTTACTGGTATTATAGTTATTTACAACATATACCATTTGATGCTAAATGCATGTTTCTCTCCTTTGGAAGCACTCAAATATAGAGAAATTATCTTTTTGCGTGCAATCTAAATGACTTTGCAGTTGTTATAAGGCTCTAATTTTGTAACCAAGTTTTTTGAACTTTTTTATGTCTGGGGTGTGCGTGTGTAGTATTTGAATGGTAAGTTTTAGTTTCTTTTGTTTGGACAATCTTTTTTGGATGGGTTTATGAGTCTCTAGTTAATTCAGCAAATGTTTGTTGAGTAATTGAAGGGTTTATGTGGGCGCTTCTGTTTGTGAAATCCCAAGAGTTATTCTGCATGGGACATTAGTTTGATGTGTAATGAAATGGGACATTGGTACTGTGTGGAAATGTGGTATTCATTACAAGCGAGGCAATTGAAGCATTAATAAAAAGTGCCTATGTGTCCTTTTTCAGTGGCGTATTCTGTTAGTCTGCCCCCTTTTTGATCGGTCAGCAACACCTTACAAAGGTTTATTTGACATGGTATTTATCCTTTTCATATCCTTCTTGATGTTCTTAACCAAGAGCGAAGCAGTGTGGTAGCTGTTACGTCACATATTGCATAATACGCCTGTTTATTTTTCCATGCAGAATTGCCTTTGGACTAACTAAAGATTTCCAAGAAGGTGAATTCACCTGTTGAAGTAGATTGTAGTGCACGGTACAACTGTTGAAAAGCACCAGAATGTGTAATATAAAAAAAGGACTTTCTTATAGTTGGTAATGACACCGGTAACCTTGATCCCTTCATTCAGCTTTAGTGACTTACTGCATGGTGTGTTGTGGTCATTTGTGTGCTCTCCCTCTTTCAAATGCTCTAATCTCCAGGCTTAGTGTTTAACCAGCAGCTTTGGGTAATACGAAAAGAAGTTTTGATATGAGTGCTGGTGTGGTCTTTTCTGATTTGTCCTTCCCATTGAGCTTGAAGGTGATCCCTCATCAGCAGTCAAATACCCAAACATGGGAGGGGAAAATGTTTAAAAGGATGTCTATATGTACAATGCTAGGAATTCTGCTCGTCATGGCTAGATATTCTTGTATATACTAAGCTAGAAATGAGATCAAATAATTGTTTGACATGAAATCCTGGTAATATATGTATTCATGTTTTGCTAAACTGGCGCTCCTTGTGCTAATAGATCCTATCGTTCTTGGACGTAACGAGCCCTGTATTGAAAAATCTGCCTTCTCTCGGCAAATTACCTTATTGGATGAAAAGGAACTTTGAATTGTTAGCTTATGTGAGAACCTCCTTATCATCTCACCCACATTGTCCACGAAAGACGTCTGATCTTCTAAACCTTCCAGTGTGCTGAACTATACTTCAAAAGATTATGACATTTCACATAATCTACTTTGTCTTCCAATTTGCTTTTTTGGGGTGGAGAAGAAGGATGCGTCACATTAGTTAGCTCTGCGATTATGCGAATCTGTGTCATTGAGTTACCTGATGAGTGATAGTATGGCGCAGTTCCTTTTGATAGTGTAAGATGAAGTCAAGATCAGTATTATCAAAGGCGAAAAGTGCAAAAAAGCTCTAAGGTTTGTTGGGGCTTTAAGTGCAAATAAAGCGTGGGCTTTGATGAAGAAAGGCGCAAATGGGAAAAAACTACAAATATGTATGTGTAGTCTAAGACTAATATCTGTAAACACATGAATACCAAATATATGGACAAAGAAATGGAAGAAAGTTTACAATAAAGTGAAATATCAAATGTTAGTGTCACTAAGAATTACACTCGTTAGCAAGGAAAAGTATGCCTTAGAGCCTTGATGACAACACTGATGCGCCTATTAGGCGAGACGAAGCGTTCAATATGTTTTGAGCCTCCCTTCAGGGCTTAAGCGCGCTTTTGATAACACTGGTCAAGATACTAAGAGTGATAACGTTTTTGGTTTGGCATGTGCACCTTAATTAGGAAGCAGCGGCATTTGATGTTGGACGGGAAGTGATTTATGCGATCCATCAAAAATATTTATGGATGACCCCTCCAACAGTACCATTCTAAGTGGTGGCAATTTATCAGCAAAAGTAAATGCATTTACCTATTAGCAAAAGATCCATTTATAACAAAAATACATGAAAGAGGTGCATCTGCAATATCAAATTAAAAAATGTTTCATTGAGAGTTTATCTCCCAAAAGGATGATATGGTTTAGAGTACATGAGTCAAGTATTTAATTTTTCTAGTGAATTCAGGCATCGATATTTTGCAATACGTTACACTTTTGATTCAGTTTTATTCTTGTTGTTAGCTAATTGTCTCGTATTTGCCTTTGTTATCGATGGAGTTCCAGTGTAAAGTGAGTTTGATTCTACATGTCCAAGTTTACTTCTGTGACTTTTGATTATGATTATGATTACCCTTAGGTCGAACTTCTTGAGGAGTCCATAGCTTGGCAACAAAAGACTTTTGCCTAAGGGCGGGGATACTATTAGCCTAAGGGGTCGTTTGCTACGCGGAATAAGGTGGGATAAAGTGTGTGATTAAATGCATATTTTGTTTGGTTAGCGGTATAAGTTTATCCTATGATTAGATTATACCGTCAACCAGGCACAATATAAATTTAATCCCACCTATCACATCTCATCCCATCAAATTTGGGATTATTTTATCTCACTTCCCAGGTGGAATAAAATAAGTTCGGAGATTATAATCCTAGGACTATAATTCGGGAATAGTTTAATTCGCGTACCAAACGATCCCAAAAAGTTTAACGAATGTCAAGATTGTTCAAAGATAGTACAAGGATAGTTTTGATCTTTTTCCCTAAAACGTATAATACTGAGAGCTTTTTTTTTTTTGATGAAAACTATTTAAAAATTGCACGGGAGGATGAAAATCAAAGGAAAAGTAGTTCATTCTCTAAATAGTAAGTTACCATTTTGCCAACTTCGGATCCATTTCCCCTATAGTGTTCTTGCTAAAGAATCTTTCTTTTCAGTTTTCATTGAGCAAAGGGACACTATATATCTCGGATCCTTTTCGCTTTGTCTTTTATCGTCACTTTCCGATTTCAGACGTTTATAGAGACCATCCCTTAGTGTCACTATGCATTATTTTTTTAGCGGTGGCGAATCAGTTTGTATACAACTCCACTATTCTATTATGTTTCTGCTATCAATATATGATAACTCTACTCATTGAGTGTCAATAGACAATATTAATAAGATAATCATACACTATTCATTAATTGGAAACAGAAAACACATGTTGCACCAATATTTTCACGTCAACTTCATCTTATATTTTCTCTCATTCGTGACTCTTCGCTAAAATATCAATTTGCATTACATTCGAAAGAGCTTTTAATAGACAAATGTAGAAGTTGAATGATCAATGAATATTCTAGAATGTCATGGTTGAATCCAAATAAATTGGGCATTGCTTTTGCTTGTAAAAGTTGTATCATTGACTCTCCTATTCCTAATTTAGGTCTTTTTAGAAAAATGAGGTCAAGGATAAAAAAGGGAGAGACAAATCTCCACTAAATCTTTTAAGCCTAATTTACGCAACTTTTTGTTTTTTTGGGATCGCTTTTAGCTTTGGGGGCAGCCACACTTTAGAATTTCAAAAGACCATAAAAAAAGGTCAAGTGATAAGAAAGGAGCTTATGAAAAGCAAAAGTCTCATTCATCATGTGATCAAAAGACTCAAAAGTTAGGTTAGTCTAACCACAGCTTGTATCGTAAGTGAAGGTTCTCTTAAATACATTTTTTGTGGGTATGAAAGAAAGTAACATTAATCATAATTTTGTTTGCTAAAGATGGATCGACGTTGAAAGATTATAACTGTGGGGAACTTGTCCAATTTCAAACAGCTTAATCCATTATTTGCAGATCACCTATAATACAAATAATTAAAAATACCCACCCTCAAGTATGAAGTTTTAAAACGGAGCTAATTTACATGGTTCAAGATGTTTTATCGCAATAGATAGAGGTTTTCGTTTCAACTTTCACTATCATCCAGTAGGAAAATATTTTAACATACTCAAGTTAGAAATGAATATGATTCACCTGAGAATATGTGTGCATATCTAAAATGAACAGGTAAAGAGTGCTTATTTTATTTTTTATTTTTGTGATAATGCGTTTTCAACTATTTTATTTAATAATAAATATCAAACAAATAAATGTATGACAAATATTTTTAAATAATTTTTATTCCTTATATATAGTTAATTATATTAGGCTGCGTATTCTGCAAACCCCAAAAGTGATCTGCTAGCTGCAAAAGGGGAGCAGTCAACCGCAAAATTATCCATAAACCTACCAGTTTTTTGAAGTAATGATATTTGAGTCATAAAAAAGAAGGCAGTGTAAATATATGGTAATAATATATTGTAATATAGAGTTTGTATTAAACTAGAAAACTAAGCGTAGACATTAAAATTTTATCGGATCAAATCCATATGAAATTTCGGTTTGATCCTAAATTTAAGATACTACAAGTAGAGTCCATCAAGGTTTCTTGGAAACTACTCTATCTGAAACCCTAACTTGGAGGCTACTCTACCTAAAACCCTAGCTACACCTATAAAAGGGGCCACATATTCCCTTTGAGAGCATCTCGAAATTCCATAAAAATTTATGGAATATTCATAAAGAGATCAAAAACATCAAATATTGTCTTTCTCAAAGCCACCAAAGTGATCAACGCATGTTCTTCATTTTTTCGGAGATCAAATATATCTAAGGAAGTTCGCACATCCTTCCCACGTTCAAGAAATACGCTGGTTAAACCCTCGAATCACGGAGAAAGATCTAGAGAGAAGAATCAAGGGAACAAACAGAATTGTATACCTATATCATTTTATCAATAAAATTATGTTTCTTCATATTTATATTGTGGTTGCAATTTATTTTTGTATCACAAATAAATTTGTAAAGACTAGGATCTCTAGTAGTCTTTTTTCACATTTGTTAGGGATTTCTTAGGGTTAGATAACTTTTATATAGAGGGTGTTTCTGGCATCTAGGAAAATATTTTCTGAAAATTATTTTTTAACTTTTTCATGTTTTGTTGGGTTAAATGTTCTGTAAAATATATTTCTCATGATGAACTCATATTTCTTCAATTGGAGGAAAATAACTTCCTTAGTAAAAGGAGAAAAAATATTTTTGAACCTTTTCCACCCTATTCCCCACCCACCCTTCAACCCCCACCTCTAACCTCAACCCCTACCTCACACAAACTCCCACCCCTAAACCCCTACCCTCGCCACCGTCACCCCAATTCCTAAACCCTAACCAATCACCCTCCCATACTCTTATCCATGTCGTCTCCCGTAGTATTTGTCTAAATTATATATTTTTCAAAAAATATTTTTTACTACCTAAACAAACATCAGAAAAATAAGAAATCACTTATTTTTTGGTTGTTCAAAATCGAACCGTAATCATTAAACGAACCGAAAAAATGGCTTATTAGTATCAGGTTATCGGATAAACTGTTAACCCATGCAAATTTTTTATATTTATACGTTTACCCCTATTAATCAAGAAAGCAGTAAGAAAATTCCAGACCAAGGCCATGAGCTTCCCAAATCATTCAAGTAGAATCATGTTAACAAGTTGATTACATGAGTTTGGCTTTGCAAGCTAAATATGATATTCCCTCCGAGTTGGTTTAAGTGGAAAGAGAGATAGCAGAAACAAACTTCCTCCTATTTGTTTTTTGATAGCCGGACTTACTAGCTAAAAGGGAGAAGACACAACAATGATAGATGATATCTCTAGACACCTTGAGTTCTAATATTGGTACTAATTCAAACCAGCATTCTGACATATTGGACTTTAGTTACCAACACTTACCAATTTGGTTGAAATAATGTGTTTCTTATGGTTGAGCTAGATGTAGTTGCCAAAAAGAAATCAAAGGGTGGGATAAAAGAAGTTGTCTTTATAATCTAGCATATGATTTCCGTGGGGAAATGATAAATTTTCTAGTTCTCTAATTCTCTTTTACTGTTTATTTGGTTTAGCCGATAAACAGCTCGATAACTATCGGCTAATCGTTATTTGATTCTATTTCGCCCGATGTCTTATTGAATGGATAGCGGATTACTACATTTATAAATCGATAAGCTGAACTGTTGAGCGTCAATAACTGCCCAATCTACCCGATACCCCTACTTATTTTCAAGAAAATA